GAATCATGTATACTGAGAAGATGATGGAAAAATTGAGATTTCCAATACAGGAGCCACTTGCTGTACGTCAGTAACCTTTTCTCTACACGCCTCCCCCGTCTTCAAATCCTCATCATCTTTCTTCTTCTCCAACTCAACTTTCATTTTCTTCAAAGATACTCTTTACCCCTATTTCTCCAGAAGTTCCTTCAGTTGATTAATTTATTTCTCAGCTGAATTAAAACATTTTTGAATCTACTTAGCTGCATCTAGAGGAGCAGAATTATGACTCTTCTTCAGCAATTGTTTCTCTTCCTTTAGAGCAGACACTTCATCCTCAAGATCAATATATGGAACTCAAATTTCAAGTTAATATATGGAAAGATAGGAAAAACTAAACACTAATTACAACAAGAGATTGGTAAAAAGTAAAATTGCTCCTACTTTTCTTGGTCGAGAAGGTAGCCGCACATTTGAGATTTCTTAGATGCCATATTGGGAATTTTCTTGTGAAAATGCTTCATTGCACCCCATGATGGTGCAGCCCTGACATATAAATTATCAATTTAGGGACACAAACAAAATATGATGATTTATTGTTTTCCCGAATATTTACTTTACTGGCGATAAATATCCAAACCTAGTAATTGGATGTGAAAGGCAAAAGGTTAAGCAAGCCTTCTTACTCTCAGCTAACAGATCTTCTGCAGCAAGGAAACAACACACAACACTTACATGGGATGACGGCTCGGTGCCTTTATCCAAGATTAGACCGTGATAATAGTACACCAGCCTACACGCACGAGCGCAACCTAAAATCATGTTACTAACAACCTAAATAAAAATAATTAACCCGATATTGCCAAACAGAAAAATAATTATTAGGTCATGCATGGTCACCTTTGCTTCTAGATGCTTCCACTTGAGGAAAAACAGTTGCTTCTTCCTGGCACCTCCATTATCTGCTTCGATAGCAGAAATAGGCATGAAAAATGGGATAAACAAGTTATGATTCTAACTGAATATCATTAGTCCATTAATATTTGGGATTAGGAAAAGTAATTATCATGTGATTTACCTTGATGAAAAAACTGGGTTGTTTGCACGCTAGTCTTATTTTAACGGACAAAGTCGCGTTTTGGCTTTGCATGGCCAGTCCCAGTCGAACTTCTGTTCCCTGATATTGGTATATTATAATAAATATGAGCATTTATCATGCACACAAATCACATTTTTTATATTATTAATAATAGAAGATGCACTGGCGATAAGTACCATTGCGAGGGCTTGGTACAAAATCGACTCCAGGACACTCCCCTGCGTATCTGAAGGCAACTTATCTTTGTTTATATATATATCATTAACATCAATAACCAATATTGTGCACATACATATAACACTATTAAGTTGATTTAATTATATGGAGAAAAAAGAAAAATAAAAAGACAACGAAAACAACAACAAAATTGGGAAAAACAACTCCCCCACACTTAAACCTTTGTTCGTCCCAAACAAAAAGAAAAGAAAATAAGATACGAGCATGGATACGTTTTCAAATAAGAAGAGCCTCAAAATGCCCAATTCAATCGAATCGAATTCCAACGATCGGGCAACCATATGCCTCAAATATCAACTTAGGCCACTTGACCCAAAAAAAATTTCTTTCTTTTTTATTTTTATTTTACCTTATTTTTATTTAGTGAGTAACTTTTTTTCAAACAAGGTCGAATCAAAGGACAACATTCTGTAGGTGTAAACATTGGAGGTCATCCAAGTGTCCTATAGTAGTTTCCCAATACTCATTACCCGTTAACGTGAATTGAGTAGTAAGAGGAGCAGAATCCATTCGAATCCTCTTGTGAGCTCTCATGTTTTTTTTTTTTGTTTGTTTTTTTATTAATACTGGGTCAAGCAATATGTTACAACTTCAAATTTCACCTCATTCAAAAGTGCCACCAATTTCATCCATCATCACACAAATCAGTCAACAGGTTGAGAAGAAATTTTTTTAAGCTCAAACGGGCTACTAGCGGATATGAACTTTTAGGATCAAGAACAAGGCTAAAAACAGCTAATCAAACAAAATGCCTCAATCATATTCGCAATTTCAAACTCTAATCAATTTCTTTCAAATAAACTCAAGACAAGTTCTAATCATTCAAGAATATGACCAATATCCCACAAGAAAGAAAAGCAAGGATCAAAACCTCACAAGGCAAATAGACATCACTCAAAGCCATCAAGAAAATATCGAGGCAATGATCAATACGTTCATTATCACAACTTCCCAATTTCATTAAATATTCATTAACACAACTTATAATTTACCAATACCACATGCTCAATAAAACAAAATCCTAGAACTAGACCGGTCCACCACATAAGCATGCAAAATCCAAATAAACTCCCCCACACTTAGAATGAGGCAATGACCTCATTGCTTCAACTCAAAACATGAAGTCAAATACTAGGACCAAACAATTTCACATAATGAACCAAACTAGAAGCTATCACAAGACACAGACTCAAAGGAAAAGACGAGAGAAAGAGAACTCAAAAAGAGAAAACAAAAAAGGGTGTGCAAACCGAAACCCCTCGAGGAGAAAAATCATCCACGTGCAAGCCGCTCGCCTATGCTCGGCCACGCGAACTCATACTGCCAATAAGAAAATCACGAAACTCCAAACTCCCATTATTCCAAGATAAAACTAAAAAGCGAAAAGAAAAATATCTAAGAAAGCGATAAATCACTTGGGTTGCCTCCCAAGAAGTGCTTGTTTAAAGTCATTAGCTTGACGAAACCTGTGGAGTGACGGTCATGCCACACCTTCATATTTTCAAAAAGTGGTAGCTCGGGCAATGTGGCAAGAAGACGGATATAGTGGATCCGGGTGGGTGTGTTCCGAATGAAACGAGTACGGGCACGAGCAATCCCTAATTCTAGACGTAGAGCTTTTCCCACCCCAACTCTATCGTCAACCTCCGGAAGTATAAGCTCATCTATGGAGCAAGTTGAACTAAATCCCACCCACTTCGTAACACAGTGTAGCAGCCTCGGAGACGGATGCTCCAACTCGGAGATGGGAGGTGGGACTTGAAAATCAAGCCTATGGGTCTCCTCCTCTAAAATATCATGGAGCTTACTATCTTCTTCTTCGGCCACACACATTGGCTGTTGGAACCCACGAGGATCTCGATATGCACAAATCACGGACAAACATTCAAC